TGGGTCCTATAGGAAAAGACTCAGTACCTATTTGGATAGGACAGTGATCGGAGGTGACCCCGGGTAACGCCCTAGCAACCAAGTTTTCCAAACTATTCTCCYAGGCAAGGTTAAAWARGAATCTATCCAACTTCGAGCACAAAGGGGTTTCCTGAAGGTTGGACCAAGTGTAACTAGCTTGTAGCAGAGGTATTTCCTTCAGATCACAATCTTCAATAAAACCATTAAATTTCCTCATGCTTGTTGAGTTATATTTTTTCCTTATCTGCCATATTATCCACTCCTTCCCCCTCTATCACCTTTTTTATCAGAAATTGTTCAATTTATTAATTGATAAAAGATGATGTGTGTACACAAATGTGCCAAAAAACCCCGAATAGAGGCCACTACCCATTCTATCATCTTTTTTGAGCTTGATATAAATTTCCTTTTTAGAGTTTGGCACTTCTTTTTATCAACTGTTATTTCTGCAGTTCATTTCTCATCCAGCCAAAAATATTTCACATTTCAATTCCAATCCCACTTCACACACAGACATACATACATACTTAAGCCGGAAGCAGTCGTACAGTTGGCTGCTCTCCTTTGAGAATTTGGAATCTGCATATGCAAGACCCATTTGCTTTCATTATGACATGTGGCCCAGTGATTATAACTTAAACTGAATCTACACCCATATCGATGCCCTTATTTCTCCTACTCAATTAGAAACCCATACTTTAATCTCTGAAACAGTTATAATATTCTTCTTATAGTAAATAAAATAATTCATTAAAGATATAGAGAACACAAAACAGTTATAATATTCTCTCTAACTCTAAGCAGCAGTAAGTTGTGAACAAGAAAATCACGATAAACGATGGCAACTACGGCCTTCCTAATGCAACAGCAACAACATACCATCCCTTCCTGAATCACATCCAAGGTTAGGCCTTTATGCAGTAAGGAAAGACGCACAGAAAGCCAGATTTTTCTTTTCCCTTTTTCTTCTACTTTATCATCACTGACTTGCAAGACGATGCAAGAAACAAGTTGCCCAACATAAAATATGTTAGATAGTAAGTTACTTTCAGCATCCTGCAAATAAATGAAACCATAGACTCTTTAGAACAAAAGAGCATAAAGCAAAATAATAAACCACTAAGACTCTATCCAGGAACTCTTTAAAACAGGATAAGAGAACAACAATCATGAAAAGGGAAGAAAAAACAAATAACTTATTTGTCTCTAAGAATCCTTCACAAAAAGCAGCAAATATCACCTTAATATCACCATCTGAAACAAGATCAGATGCTTCATTTACACGGACCAACCCTCGTAACCCCCCCGGAAGACTAACAACAAGATCTTTCTGGTTCACTTCAGCAATGACACCCCAAAGCTTTATTCCAGGTGAGACATTCTGGAGGTCACAAAGAAGTTGATTTAATCACATAATATCCAAAAAAATAAGTAAAAATAGAGGGGAACCATAAAATCATGGCAAGTTAAAACACTGTTGATCATCTCTCGATTAGAAGAAGCACATCAATCAATTCAAACAAGAGAATTTTGCTAAAGGAGATAACCCTGAAAGCTTAGAGTTTCTCCAGCCTAGTGCTGCACTTTCAAGTATTGAAAACAGCTTTATGTATGAGAACTGAGGTAGAAACGGAATACCAGAAAGTGATACCTAATTAAGCATATCTAGATGAGCAAAAGACCAACATAATGCCCAGATATTCTCACTAAAATATGTAGAAAATAAACAATAAGCTTAGTACAAAAATAACAATAACGCATGAAAGCAGAAAGCAGATAACAGTAAAACACAACTGTATGCTTTATCAGAAGTTTAAGATGCATAAAATAGCTAATACAAGAAATACAGCCCAATGCCTACCACAAATGATCGTGGAAGAAGTTAGACCTGACGTGATGCAACCTATAATAACAAATTCATTGTCTGACTACCAAGCAAGTCAAAACTAATAAATTCCAGTACAGGATGGCAATCTTGCAAAGGGCAGACTGAGCATGTACAGCAGATGCTGTGAATGAATGTTTTGAGATGGGACCAAAAGGGTGATTTGTGGGCCCGCATTTTTACTTTATTAAAGAAAAACTGAACATAGGAACACTTAAATAAGGACTCTGACACCTAAAAAACAATTATAATAACATTTAACAAGTTCTACTAAAACTAGTTTGATGTAGACACTAGGAATTACTAAAAACAGCATACGATGATTTTACTATAAATAGAGGGATGGATCTGGGCTGGACTGGATTAGGAAGTCCACTAAGAGGATTTCATTGGTGAATTTGAATGAAAAGATGATATCACCGAATGGAGAACCAGTTGAGAAGGAGAAAAAAGATCACCATTGTGAATAGATTAGAGGCCTAAGAGTTCGAATAATGGCCAAATAATTCAAGTTTTGAGAAATTTCTCCCAAATGAGAATTGGCCTATGGGGAATCAGATCCCATAAAAGTAATATGAAGATATAAAAGATAAAAAGGAGGCATAGGTGGCAATCATTGGTCCAAATTACCTAGCAATAATCAGATGGTAGAAACATCAAGTGAGAAGTCAGATTTGATGTCAATAGAAATTTTGACATTAGATTGAATTAAAGAGAATTTTGATGCAGATATTCAAGGGAGAGTTCTTGAAGGAGTGGATTCAAATCTGTTGGGCAAAGAAGAGGCGGGGTAAAGCAACATGGTCCATGGCACTAAGTACTTTGCAGACAGCATTCTTTGCTAAAGATCCTAATTACCAGTTTATCATCAATTTAAGTAACTTTGTAAGAACTAAATGTAGTAAAGTGTCAATATCTCTTATTAAGGTTTATTTTCATTTAAGAAAGTTAAAAGTTACTTATTTTAGATAACCTAGCCATTTCACCTGAAAACGGGGGGAAAGTGAACAACTACAATGAAAAGGTGTAACATCAGTGGAGAGACAAGACAGTAAAAACTAAAAAAACAACACAAACTAGAACAAATATGAAATACCAAACAAACAAATAAATAAATAACATGAGCACCTCAAAGAAAGCAAATTCTCATCTACCTCTTTCCTTTAATTTAACAACAGCCCCTTTTAACTTCAGATATAATCTCACTGAAGACGTTCTTAGATGAAGTGGTCAATCAAAAGATCAATTTGCCAGACAAGTGTGCCACATTCCTAACTATGAATAAGGTTCCCCTAACATTCTCTAAAAATCCTTAGCCGTGCTTTTTTTTTTGATCAATAATCCTTAGCCATGCTTTTTTTTTATCAATAATCCTTAGCCATGCTTTGGACAATTACAAGTTAAGGCCATCCGCTGCTTGAACAACTAATTTCACATGATGGATCAGAAATTGTSATTATTCAAAAATCACCAATTTAAGAGAAACAAAAATGATAAAGCCGCCTCAGATATATAAAGGTTCGAGCTTTTAAAGAGGAGACATACAAACAGTCAAACACTTCAGTGCAAAAAACGATTCGTGTATATTCATTTCGTCATTGACAAGTATAAAGAATATGCTTCTCACGTTTTAGCGAGATGATGGAAGTAAATGCTGGGTGTATTAGGTATAAAGGCGCTCATGAAAGGAGCAACTGAATTATAAACTCTATCCCGAGTAAATAAATTCACAGTTGCAAATAGGAACGACGATGTAGAATTAAGTATCCAGCTCATGTCGCATTAGCTGCCACGTACCTTCAAAGTGACCCTATTGGCGAAGCGGGGTAGCTTCCCAGTAATACCATCGCCAAAGAGTGAACCCAAGTCATTTTCTGTCGCATAACTTTTCTTCTGCTGCTGCTTCTTTTTCTTCCTCGACCCCCTCTCCTCCACTTCGAACTCGGCGTCGACCTCTGCACGAACTTCATCGATCTCCTGACGACTCAGCACTCTCCCCCCTCCTGCAAACACATTAAAGAGCAATCAAACACTTCCGAGTGATGGTCTGCATTTCAGCCGATTGAGGAAGTGGGGAAACAAATATGTTTTATTAATGCTAACCTCGTGGAAAATCCGGGACGTCGTCGTCGATTTGCAGAGGCAAACCTTCCGACACAACAGTGTCTTCTGACTTCTGCTTGATCTTGCGGTCCTTTTTGAAGTTTTTATGTGGTTTTAGACCATCTCTGGATTTCTTCTTCGGTACCTTATGATGTGCGGGCATCTCTGAGGATTTCAGAGTTTCGGAAGAGGGAACAGCTCTTTGCTTGTAGTTGTTAGATGTTACTGCGTCTCCGAGTTCTTTTCTTTGTTTGGCTTGGAACGCGAGCGGCGGGGGGTTAATAAGGGTTTTACTGGTTAGGTTTTTCGCGGTTTCGGCCGTGAGCTGCCAGTTTGGAGCGAATATTATATACGGTGTATAGCCCACAGCTGAAAATTCAGCTGCCCCGTAGCAAAGGGGCGCTACTTGGGCGAGCACAACCCGAGCCCGACCCGGATCAACACGATATTTTGCATGGATTGATTTTGTGCCATGAAATTCGGGCCCGACCTGGACTCTATTTGGGCTTGGGTTGATATCTTGGATAGTCCGAGCTCGGTCCAGCCCATCCCAAGCCGATCATTTTTATCACGTGTAGATTTTATGCATCTTTACGACTCATTCCACTTCTATGATAGGATTTAAAGCCCAATGAAATATGATTGTATACATATGTAAACAACAAAAAAATTTTAAATCCAGCCAATCCACCATGGTTCGACCCAACCTGAACCCGATTCCCAGCCCAATTTGTGTTGGCTTAAGTTAGTGGAACCAATAAGGATATATATGAGGCTTTGCTATTTTCCATTTGATTTTTTTCTCGTTATTAGCAAGTGTGCAAGTGYTTTGCATATGGCAATTTTTTACAATAAAGGGTGATTAGGGTTGAAGGTCAACCCAAGCCCAGCCCTATAGGTGCAAACCTTGGGCTTGGGGCTGGATGACCAAATTTAAGAGTATGATTATTTGAAAAATATATACAATTTCATTTACAAATGTACAATTACATACTTTGTGCATATACGCATGTACAATAATTAGAAATGTGACATTTTATATAAATATAATATGCATATGTATGCATTTTCTTAGATGGGCTTGGGGTGGATCGGGCCTACGTTTTTTGGCCCATGTCCAATACGCAACTCGAAAAAAACTTGGACCTAACCCATGCCACAAAAAAGGGGGGGCTAAATTTATATTGTTAGTACATAATTTATATGTTTTAATGTTAAATTTATATTATTTGAATAACATTTAATTTGAATAATCTAGAAAATCATAATTTATATTGTTAATACATAATTTCGTGATGAATTTTGTGAAATATAGAACTATTAATAATATGAATATTATTAAATCTATTATAATTATTATTTGTGTTTTTAATAAATATTTTTATAGTTATTGTATAATTTTTTAAAATATTTAAATAATTTTTAATTTTTTAATTTGAACTTTCTTTATATCGGAATAGATAAAAAGTGGCAAAGAGGATAAATAGGAATTAGATATAATTTGGAGAGAAGTACTCTAGTAAATTAGATATAAGTTAGGAGATAAATAAGAATTGAATATGATTTAGGAGAAAGTGGGGGATGTAGTTTAGGATAAATTTTAGGAGAAGAGATTGTTGGGGAATGATAGCATCTCACTGGTTCTTTAAAAAATTACATGGAATAAAAAAAAATAAAAATTTCAAAAAATGATAAAATTTCTTGACCGCTTTGTTTTAATATATATAGAGAGAGGGGGAGAGAGAGAAAGATGTATGGATAGAGAGAATGAGAGAGAGAGATGATGGATTGGATAAATCACGTGATAACATCATGTATTTTTGGGTATTGGCAATTACTCCATGAACTTTCACTTGCAACAAAGACCCCTTTGTTATGATTCTTTTCAGTTAACTTTGAAAAAAAAAAGTTATAATGTAACTGTTTAAACATTTGTCTAGATCCTTTAACTTTTTTTTTGTGATTTTTAACCTTTTTATCTCCATTTATATATATATATATATATATATATATATATATATATATATATATCCTTTTGGTATCTTTGAATACATTTGCATTTTTTAAGTATATATTTGCTATAACTGCCACCATATAGCTAGGATAAGGCATTGATGATGATGATGACGATGATTAATTTGTTCTAAACAAACACTAATGCCTTCCACAAAAAAAAAAATAAAAAAATAAAGAAGGAAAATAACAAAGATAAACTACAACTTTATTAAACAAAATAAAAATGAATTGATGATCTATAAAATTTTAATGGGATGTGGGAGAAGTTGGATAGGGCCTAACCCGAGCACAACCGAAAACAAAGTAAGTTAGGGGTTTTAGTTAGGCCTTGCTTGTTTTGCATTAATCGGGTAAGGCGTCTCCCCCTCCCCCCAGAAAGTGATTCATAGGAAAGCGTTATATAGTTAGTTTCAAATGCAATATTCGACTTGACCAAATATTACCAATACAATTTTTTTTAAAGGGTAAAATACAAAAACCTCCCATAAAATTTATGACAATCATAAAAAGCTCCCCTTTAGTTTTACTTGAATAAAAACCTCTCTTGAACTTTTAAAGAAATTGACAAAAACCTCCCTTCTATCACTGACCCACACAAAAAACATTAAACCAATGCATCCATATTTTCCAAATACACAGTTTACCCTTTTTGTAATTCTCTCTCTCTCTCTAGGAGTCAAGTGATGTTGTTTCTTTACACTTTGACTCATTCTCTCCCTAACTTAAAAAGTTCTCTCTCTCTCTCTCTCTCTCTCTCTCTCTATATATATATATATATCTGAGCTTTCAAATGCCCCATCTCCCTTGACATTATGAAATCTTCGGTAAGCCTATGCATTGGCATTATTTACGACCAGTCCAGCATCTAGAAATGGCTCGATAGTGCCAAAAGTACAGAAATGTTATTTGTTACAGTAGGTTTTGCACCAACCAGAGTGCCACTGATGACTTACAAATGCTTAAATCAGGGTTTCAACATATGGGTTCCCATCATTTCAGGGTTTCATTCACCCAAATCAATAGTCTTAAGTCAGGAATTTTCAAATACCTGAACTGGTAGCACCTAAAAATGGCTCCAACAATCTTTTTTCTTTTTCAAAATATAAATTCTCCCCTCATGAGTGTGTCCCTAATCCCATATGTTCCTTCCTTCTCTCCATTATAACTTTATGATTGAGGTTTCAAAAATTAGAACAGAGGCTTACCGGAGATTTCATGATAGCGAGGGAGATGGGGCATTTGAAAGCTCAGAGAGAGAGAGAGAGAGAGGAGGGGAGGAGGGAGGTTGAAGCGGGGGATGGTCTTGGCTTTTGAAGCTGGGGAAAGAATGGATCAAAGTGTGAAGGAGAGGTGTCACTTGACTCCTAGAGAGAGAGGGTCAATAGAGAGAGATAGTAATTTACGAAATGTATATAAACTAATTTACAAAAGGGCAAAATGGGTATTTGGAAAAACATTGATGCATGGATCTACAAAATGTATATAAACTAATTACAAAAGGGCAAAATGGGTATTTGGAAAAATATTGATGCATGGATCTAACGCTTTCGGTCTGGGTCAATGACGGAAGAGAGGTTTTTGTTGATTTATTTAAAAAGTCAATTGGAGATTTTTGTTAAAGTGAAACTAAAATAGAAGTTTTTATGATTGTTAGAAACTTTAGGGGAGGTTTTTATATTTTACCCAAAAAAAAAATAATTAACATATAGCCCAATCGTAGTAGTGGCCAAAGGGTTAGGTTAGGTTAGGGGTGATTAGTACCACTATGTCGAGTTGGATTAGGGTAGGGTGTTTAAGACTTTGGGTTTGGAGCTGAAAATTTTGACCATGAGACCCTTTTGACCTACCCAATCCACCCGCTTCAAAAACTACCCATACAAGCCATACCCACCCACTATAGTAGTGAGCCATATGGGTCACTATCAAGAGAAGAGGGTCAAATGGATTGGGTTAAGAGTACCCATTGGGTCATAAAGGGTCGGGGTCGGTTCGGTCATGAAGATGGTAGATAAAGGGTCAAGGGGAGGAGGGGTCGAGAGAGAACACTGTTACGTTGCAAGCCAAATTAGTCGAACATAGTCATTTCAATGCTTTCTTAGTTATTCGTTACACCATAGAAGATGTAAAGGCTTTGAATTTGTTCCACCTTTGAAGATTAGGCCATAAGTTTTTTCTATACGTTCTTTTGTTCCACTGGTCACCAAATCGAGGGCATTGTTGAAAGTTGTTGGGGTTTCAATCGCTCCCATCGAAGTTTTTTTTCTTAAGTTCTCTAAACTGTCTGTTTGTTCCACCATTGAAGCAACTTTATTCTCTTAGCTTCGACATTGTTGATTCTCATTGTGCCATTGTTTTCATCACCACCGTTTCTCAAAGTTCTCAAGTTGCGTTTAAATCAAAGCTTTTAATAAGCAAGTATTTGGACATTGTTCATCTTCTTTAATATCATAGTTGTTATATGGTGATTGGCATACTGAAGTAGGAAATCATATTCTACTGCTGCTTTTGAGTGTATGGTTTATAGTTTCTACATGGCATCTGATTTCAGATTGAAGAACATAATTGTAGTGTACAATTCTGTTACTAGAGTTAAAAATGTAGCCAATAGGCAATAGCCATTCACTAGGACAAGTATTATCCATGTCATAAAGAAGTATCATATCTATGCCATTGGTTAAACAACCTATAAAGTGTAACAAATATGGACTTTCCTTTCCATAAAATGGAGATGCATTAATATAGTTGTGGTTATTTAAGGGGAGTTTTCATCATCAGCATCTATGATTTTATATTTCAAAACAAAAGCTCATTTCTGTTGATGTGACAACTCTTTTTTGTCTTGGAGAACAAAATTACACATATTAGCAAACATCATAAAAGTTGTTATTGTAATGAATCACCATTTTGCATCTATCATTACGATTATGGAATCATATCAACTGCTACTTGCTTCTTTGTTCACTTTTGCTATCAACGGATTTATCTTACCAGTGTCATCCATGATTTTTTTTGCAACTTTTTTTTGGTATTTTTATGCATTTTGGTACATTTTTTTGCAACTTTTTTTTTTGAATTTTATGCAAATTTTTGGCATTTTTTTCTTGAAAATTTCATTTATTTTTCTGCGAATGTTTGGTATTTTATGCATTTTTTCTGAAATTCCTGCCAAATTTATGTAATTTCTGCATTTTCAGCAAAATGTCTGCATTTTGTTGCAATTTCATGCATTTTCGGGTAATGTTTGCATTTTTTTTTTTGTTCCGAAACTTCTGCAAAATCATACTTGTCTTTTTGCATTTTTTTGCATAACTTATGCATTTTTCTGATCTGTCTGCAATTTTATGGTATTTTCATGCATTTTCTGCCTTTTTTTTCCTGAATACGTTGCAAAAAAATTGTATCTTGTTTTGCATATTTGCAATTTCTGTTTTTTTTTTCTGCATTTTGGTACTTTTTTGCAACTTTTTTTTTGAATTTTATGCAAAATTTTAGCAATTTATTTTTCCCTGAAATTTTCATTTATTTTTTTGCGAATGTTTGATATTTTATGCATTTTTTTTCTGAAATTTCTGCCAATTTTGTGTAATTTTTGCATTTTCAGCAAAATGTCTGCATTTTGTTTGCAATTTTATGGTATTTTTGCATGTTTTTTTTTCTGGTACTTTTTGCATTTTTTTTTCTGAATCTTCTGCAAAATTCTACTTTTTTTTAATGCATAACTTATGCATTTTTCTGAATTGTCTGCAATTTTTTGGGATTTTCGTGCATTTTCTGCATATTGTTTTTATGAATATGCAGCAAAAACTATGCATTTTGTTTTGCATTTCTGGCATTTTCTGAATCTTCTGGTATTTTCTGCACAATTTCTGCAATGTTCTGTAACTTCTGCATTTTTTAGCAAGATTTACTGCATTTTTTTGCACATTTCCTGCATTTGTTTTTCTGACTTTTCATGCAATTTATTGATATTTTTTCGTGTCAGTCACGAGAATGGGATGATTCTCTTAAAATCGAATTTTTCGGGTACATGGGTTGACTGATCCGTATTTATCACGCAGTTATCTCGAGGGATGATTTTCTAAAAAAATGTTTTTTTTTTCAGGTATCTGTCAAATGACAGTCCTGGGAGATAATTCTCACTCTTTCTATTATGGCTCTGCTTGTTTGCGATACAAATACAAACGGTTCGCATTTGCGAGCGTTTATTTGATATATAAAAAGGTAATGATTATTAGAGCAAAAATATATTTTCTCACAATGGACCCATACTTTGCACTGATTTCAAACAAATATTTTAAGAGATTATTCTCTTAAAATATTATTTTCGACCCAACCCGTTTCTGTATTTTCAGTTCAGGATAGGTGAATCAATACGGGTGAGGGTGGATTGGTATTCAACCCTCACCCAACCCAATACACCCATTTGCCCCCGTATTTGGGTTGGGTTTAGGGTTGACCTCAACCCGATGTAACCTGGCCCAACTTTCACCCCTATCGGTAGTGGTAGAATCCTGTGGCAAAAAATATGGGATTTCGACTTTGAAATTGCAGAGAGCCAGAGACTATTCTCTGGGTAGGGTAGGGTAGGGACGTAGGGTTATATTGACACTTGAACTTCCGTGGTTTTGCTTTCTGCTAGAAGTCGAGGTCTTGGGTTTTAAATGATATATTTTGCCTTGATCGTTGATGGGTAGTTCTCTATTTGACATGAAAGGCTTGATACTTGCTCTCATTTTTGCTGGCTCAGCATGCTCCTATTCATGTTTTTTCTAATCACTACAAATTCTGATATTGTGGGTTGAAGCTCATTGATTTTCGGTACCTGTCAATTTACCGAGTATTCCAGCAAAAAACTAATCTTTCGTCCGTGAAACTCAACCTGGTAAAACCCGACTTTGTATTTTCTGTTTTTTCCTTTTTTTTTTTTCATTCCTTTGTTCGGCTGTTTGCTTGCATTTAGTACCTGGCTCTGTGGAGGTTGAACTTAAGACTGCAAATTACATTTTGGAAGTTTATGCAAGTGACGCATGTTTTATTCTGATTATTTTGATCAGCTACTACTTTCCTAACAAATGCTCTTTGAAAAGCATCTGTGTAGCATTGCTTGAAATCCATTTGAGGGGATTTCTGATTATTCTAATTATTTTGCTGCAGTGGCCTTGAAAACTAGTAGCAGGAGAATGAACATAATAATTGATAATTTACTGTAATTTGGAAAGAAAACTCTTTCTTTAATACGGAAAGAATTCCTTATGTTTGATATGTGGGTGTTACCACAAAGATCTGACTCTATCTTTTGTACATGGAAATTGAAATTAGCATCAGGATATTTGCTTTCTCTCTCTCTCAATTTTCTACTTCCCAAAATTTCTAATGTTAGGAATGGATATTGCCTGACGTTTGCAGATTTTTTTAAGAGGAGATGGGTTTTGGAGGTGGCAAAATTTTAAGGTATATAGCAAGGCTTATCTCAGCTATTAACTTGCAAATTGCAGAACCTTTTTTTTTTTTTCCTGATGTTGTGTTTTCATGCTTAGTACGGTTTGTCTAGAAAGAAAATTCCTGAATACTACTACATCTAGTTTGTCTTTGTTTCTGTTGCTGTTCATCTTCTACAGGTGGAGGGAGTAGAGGTGCTATGATAGTGAAAATGAGAGTGAAGGTTGACGCTTGGATTCGACTCCGCTTTCTATACTCGCTCTTCTTGCCAAAACCAACCTCTCTCTCCTCCTCCTCATCTCATTCTCTTCAGAGGACCTTGACGAATCTAAAAGCTTGCCTCTTTACCACTACCGTCACTGCTACCTCCCCTGCTTCACAAGATGTAGAAAGCGCATTGGCATCCGCAGACCTAAAAGACTCTGCTATTGCCGGCCTTTTCCGAGGATGTGGCTGCACCGATTCTCAGATAATGAAGATCTTTGTACGCCAGCCATCTTTGCTCAAGTCTGAAGTTGAAATCCTTCAGTCCAAGCTCAACATACTCCGTGGATTGGGCCTTACTGGTTCCGACATCGTCAAGATCATTCACTGCCGCCCTCGCTTCTTGGCCTCTCGCATCAACCACAGCCTCGATGAGCGTGTCGACTTCCTTCAACAATTTTTTGGGTCTAGGGAGATGCTCCTCAAAGCAATAGTCCGCAATCCTTCCCTTCTTAACTACAGTTTGTATGATAAGTTAAAAAGCTGCATTGCTCTATATGAATCTATGGGTATCGCCAGGCAGGACTTGATTTATTTGCTCATGTCTCGTCCCACCTTAATTTCTCGAACCTCGCTCGACAATGAAAAAATGGAATACATTCGCAGGACTGGGCTCTCCAAGGACTCTAAGATGTACAAGTATGTGCTCACCCTGATTGCCGTATCACGCATGGAGACCATCCGAGAAAAGATGGGTAACCTTGAGAAATATGGTTTCTCGACAGATGAAATAATGAATCTAATCAGTCGCTCTCCTTTGGTGCTCACCCTCTCCATTGACAAGGTCCAAAGGAATATGACTTTCATCATTGGGACCATGAAACTACCTGCAAGTGTTGTCCTTGACTACCCATTTCTCTTGTTCTTGAACCTGGAAACTGTCTTGAGGCCACGGGTTCTACTAGCAGAAAAAATAAGGGCAATGGGTTTGCTTCAGCAGATTAAAGGGTGTACCGTGTTGAGAGTGCTGAGAATGTCCGAGCCTCGATTCCTTAAGAAATTTGTTACATGCCACACTAATGATGTAGCGAAGTCCCTGATGGAGTTCTATCAAGAGACAAAAGGCATTAGGAGATTGGCAGAGTCCTCAAAGCGGGTTGTTTATAAGGGGTTCCCTTTCTGATGATGTATTGTTATATCCAATTTGATCTGATCATTTATTGGTATCTTTAATTTTACAAGCCAATAGATTGATTGCTTTTGTCCCCTCTACCCAAGCCAAGGTTAATATCTAATTTTGTATTATTTGCAACTATTCTTATTAGGGGTTGGTTAATTTTGATTTTTTACTATTGATTCTCACTGTTCCAATGTGTCGATAACTTTTTTTTTTTCCTTCCATTTTTATTTTGCTCATATAGAATTCAACAACTTAAACCAAATTTGTTTGGGTCCTTTGAATTGAACTTCATCAAGCCTGGTATTGCAAGGAACAGTTGAAGGAAATACTATTTCTAGCATTATCCTAGCGTTGTTGTTCTAAGTACCACCATTCAACAAAGCAATCAACTTCCGAATTATGAGATGAAATCTTCAACTTCCGAATTCCATGGGCATTTTTTGTGTGCTTTTGCATTGTCTAATTGGTTTCTTGTTATGAAACTCTGCTTTCAAGTTAACATATATATATGGATTCTAAATCTTATGGATTCCTTGAACTAGGAAACATATCTTATGGATTCTAAATCTTCCAAACAGGTCTTACTTCTTTTGGCTGAAAACCATAATTCAAGGATCCATGTTAAGATGCCTATATTTAGGTTCCTTGCTACTGAAGGAGTATGCCGATTTATAACAGGATATACCAATATACCAGGTGAAGAGAAATATATTTCAGATGGATGAAGGTTTAGAAAGATAAATATTTTGTTTTATCCGAGGCAGTGATTTATTCATGCAGCATCCATATGCTCCTAATTTGACATTCATAGAGGTACTTGTTCTATTGCAAAGATAAACCCTTCCTGTCCCATATTAGAATACATAGCATCATGTTGGTATCACTTGGGAATTTAAATTTTAATTCTGTGCGTTTCATATTGAAATATGGTGAACAATACTACCTTGTGCAGAAAAATGCTATTTTCTTGTTATGCTAATGTCAAAAATCTGTTGAACAATACATAGAAAGCTTATCTATCCAAAAGTATTTAGGGGAAACTGAAAATATTCTGTATAGCTACATAAAATATCTAGATAGAGTTTTTGAGCAAAACAGAATATTTCATTATTATAATTCTTGTGCAAGTATTAGCTACTATACGAAGAAACATTACTGTGGTCAGATAAGTTGGATAAGTTGTGCGTGTTCTGTCTTAATGATGCGACACAAGGTTCCACATCACATGTTGTCCCCACTTTTGGGATAAATCCCTTCTATTTGAACTGAAGTTTTTTAGTATTATATCCTTTTCATGTTGTTTGAGGTCTTAGGTATTCCAGTTTCACTTTTTCTAGGCCTTGTGTTGTCTGGTAGGTCTAGGTGAAAAGGAGGAGGGGGAAGGGAAGACTTCTTGAAGGGGTATTTGTGCTAAACCTCCTACCCCCACAAAGAGAGGGAAGATTCTTAGGTGGTACATGAGAGCTGCTATTATTTGGAGTGCTTGGAAGAATAAAAGAAAAGCAGAATGTTAATAATAAGAGATGTCATCAAATTCACCATTGATATGATTACTGTTAGCGTAGTAGATTTGGTTCTTGAAGGTTACGACGAAGGGGTTTCAAGGAATTTTGGTGGATGCAATTAGTAAGAATGACATTTGGGCATACCATGCTTTTACTCACAAAACTTGGTTTTGCCTTCTGCTTAAATAATATATGAGTGAAAGGTGACTCATGTTATTGATAAAAAAAAAGGTGACTCAAGTCATAATTGAACTGATGCAGTCAGTTCGGGCCATAGGTGTCACACTGGCAATTATTATTGTAACAAAAATTGTACATGAAAGCAGATCTTAGGTCCAATTCAAAATAAAATAAGGGAATGGAAATTAATGAAATGGATGACCTCAAAAGATTTGGCGATCTAGTGGTTTTTGTTCTGTTTTTTTTTGGATAATTAACTGAAATTTTATTGAAACAATAAAGGAGCAAATCCAACAGAGCAAGGGGAGGGGTAAAATCTCTTCACCACCTCCCTGAAAACAAACTTATTTACACCTTGTGTACCTCTCTCTTTTTCTTCAATGAAATCAGTTAACTTTTCTCAAAAGAAAAAAAAAAAACAACAACAACAACAATGTACAAAAAAGATCAACTCTTCCCACCCCTTTTTTAGCAAGTGTATCTGCAAAGGACTTCACACTTCTCTTAACCCATTGAAGCTTAATCTCCATGTCCTAGGTTAGCCATTTAAACTTCTTTTTCTCATTTGAAAACTTCCAGATCCCATTCTTTTCCTTTTGAAGCCAGTCAATGACCAACATTGAATCACCTTTCACAACCAATTTTCTGATATTTAATTCCTTCATTCTTTTTATCCCTTCCAGAGCTACCATAACCTCAGATCTTAGGGAATCCTCTACTCCAGTGGGACCAGAATACATAGCAATAATTTTTCCTCCTCATCCCTAAAAAACTCCTCTTATACTTGAAGGGCCTGGGTTGCTTTCACTACTTCTGTCAAAATTCAGTTTTGTGAACCCAGCAGCTTAAGGGGACCAAAGTGGACTAGTCGTAGATTTAAGATGAGCTGAACAAGCTACTTCTTTCCAATTCTTGTTAATATCTCCCGCTGAAATACTTGTGAAGAGTTTTATAGTCTTGACCCATTGAACCACCCTAACAATTATTGTTTCAATGATGACACCCTTCTTTCTTTTTTCGAGAAAATTCTTTGATTTCTTTCTTCCCAAACTATCCAACAAACAACTGCTTTTACACATGACCATAGTATTCTACCTCTTTCTTTTGACCCTCTAATAGAAAAGGGAGCAAACAAGTTTTGTACATTTGGTGGTGGTGGGGATCATTTGCAACCGAATAGAGAGAGAAACCAATTCCAAATCACTGATACAAAAGGGCAAGAGATTAATAAGTGATAGCAACTTTCACTATTATCTTTACACAGGATGCACCAATTAGGTCTTTTTCTTTGGAGCAAATCACAGGTATTACACTTTTCTTGGAAAGCTTCCAAACAAAAAGCTCCTATCCTAGGAGGAATTTGTTTTACTCCAAACTTCCTTAACTTGAAAGGTCAGGTGAGTGATGCACCAACTCTTTAAAGAAGGAAGCATAGGAAAAAACACCCGAAGGAGTAGTCCAAATCCAATTATCCCTCCTAGAGGGATCCACCACCACCCCTTCCAAGACTTTAATCAAAGTAGAAACACTGTTCATTTTAGAATCTCTAAGTGCCATTCTTAAACTCATATTCCAGTAAAAAACAGAGCTCAGATTAGAATGAACTAGAAATGTGGAGACAAGCTCATTTTTAATAAACCTAGGGGGGAATGTAAGGACTGGAGTTGTTCTTTCAAAGGTAATTCTCCCACCCAGTCATGCTCCCAGAAGTTGACAAGATTTCCAGAGCAAAGATCATACCTGATAAAAGAAAGGAAGGACAGTAGAATGGCATGAATAGATTTCCAAGGAGAAGCTCTTTTGGACCTCGCCAATACTCCCACATCCCATCCTTCAACTGCTTGTTCATAGATACTTAGAATCACTTTAGTCCACAACTTAACCCTATCCACTGTCAGTCTCAATAACCATTTTCCCAACAAAGCCATATTCTTCTTCTGTAAATTATCTAATCCTAACCCACCAACACTCTTATTCTTAGTAACCACCTCACAACTATCTCTATGATCTCCTCTCCTCCCTTAGTTCTTATAGGAAATCCCCCATTAACTTTTCAAAGCTCCTACACACTCCCTGGGGAATCTTAAACACCAACAAGAAATAAATAGACAAATTAGCCAATGTACATTTAATCAATGTTATCTTGCCTCATGTTAGTTGGTTGAAGACAGATGACAGTGGTTTGTGGAACTTTAACAATGAAAAAAAAACAGTTCTTATGGCTGGGTAGGGACATTGAGATTCAGTACAGCTGGGTGAAAAGGAGTGCCAACTCATTTGCGGATGGGTTGGCCAAGCAAGGAGTGAATAGGGAGGCTGTTTTTTGGGCTAGTTTTTAATATTTTTCTTTGCATTCCCTGTGTTTTCTGTTTTTGGGGAGCTAAGTTATTTTGTCTCCTCCTTTGTATACTTATTCCCTCTCTTCTCTTAATTTAATGAAATTGATGTTATTGATAAAAAAAAATGTTATCTTGCCTCACAAGGAAAGGTAATTCTTCTTCTTCCATGAATCTAGTTGCATTGTGAATTTATCAACCACTGGATTCCAAAAATTGCTCTTATTCGGATTATCCCCTAGGGGTAGACGTAGACCCAAATAATTCAACGACCACTGAGCAACCACACAACCCAATATATCAGCCCTATCTTCCACCTTTTTTTGATCATTAAATAAAGGTTTTATTAACTTCAGATGAGGTATTATATCAATGTATTACACCAATAGACAATTTTAGAGTTTTGTCTAAAATAATTGTTGTCTTGTAGTCCCTTGTTTAGCCAATAAATCTACCATCCCATTTGCTGTTCTTCTCACCCATCTAAACATAACATTCATCTTCCTAGCTAAACTTTCTATTTCTCGAATTATGTGCCTATAGATAGATCCATGGGATTTGGGTACTACTTCTTGTCCATGAAATGACCACTTGTGAATCCCCTTCCACCTCCAGATTATGAAACCCGAATTGCTTAGCAAGTTTTAAACCCTGGGGCCCAACAACTCTGCTGTCAATGCATCTCCACTATCCAGGGGTCTTGAATATAGGGCCAACATTCTTCCTTCTGAATCTCTAAAGATCCCTCCCAAACCAACCGCTATCTGATTGCCTATATAACTACCATCAAAGTTATTGTTTTGAAGGTGACAGTTGTACTGGACTTCCTTAAATTTTAATGAAAGTTACTGTTTCCAATAAAAAAAGTTAAGTTTAACAAAGTTAGCAGCTGGTTTTCTCCACACCATAATTACACTTTCTTTGTTTTGAGCTGGCAATGCCACTTCTTCCACTTTATCAGAACGTCAATTAGAGAGAAATTTTGAAATTCCTCCATAGTTTACCCAATGTGCAACTTTTATTTTTAAGAGCCCTATCTTCCACTTCCCTATCACTCGTATTAATTCCAACCACACAGCTCTTATCAAAATTGACTTTTAAGATTGGACATTTGTCCAAACAAATTAATCACCAACTTTGAGTTACTAACCCA